GAGAATGTTAATCAAACTTGATAAAACAAAAAGGCTTGAGGCCCAAGAAACTTATAAACAAGTCGGTTTATAAGTCGGTGTATTTGTGATCTTATCTTAAATGTGTTTAGGGTTATGTTTTAGTATAAATAGAAGTGCCAAGGTTGTGGCTAACCCTATGAGTTGTTTTGAGATTAAGAGAGATTGTGTAACCTTTGTTTTGAGTTAGTTTCAAAGGTAATAAGAAGAATTGTTCTTATAAACACAAAGTCTTGATCATTAGGGTTTTGATTCTTAGTTCTTAATTCAATAAAAAAGACCAAAACATTGTAAAATAAACAAACATTGATTAATTTTGGAGAGTACTTAAAAAATTAAAAGTTTTAGTTTACCAATTGGAGAGTAATTTTTAAGTTGGAAAAAGTATACCAATTGAAACAAATTATTATTTTACCCGGCGAGCAGCATCAGATACAAATGGACATGACAGTGAATGGGGCGAATGTGGTCGAAAACCTTCCTAATCAAGGAGTCAACAATCACCGATGAAGTATGTTGTCTCAGACTTTATTTAAAAAAAAAAAAAACTCGCCATATTTAAAGATGCTCGACCAAATTAAAGTGGCCGGGCAATTAATCAAACACAGCCCGAAAGAAAATTCTCGAAGAACCAGCCCCAAGAAATTGGAGAGGAAAGTAGAACTATGAAGGAACCGCTTGCGATGAGATTCAGTTTACCATGATCTTTATATCTTTCTTAAAAACTTCTATTCCCATAGAATTCTATAAATATAAACATGAATATCATCCACTTTTACTTGCAAGTGATCAAATGACTGTTTTTGGCTAAACGATCGACCTCCATAAAAATGAAATCTTGTTCACGTGTCCATGGACCGTGGTAGACCCATCTAATTTATACGTAGCTAGGCCCGTCTATGGCCGAGTAGGATTGGACACAAAGATAGATACAACAATACATTTGTTGCGGAGCATTTGGCGGATTATTAAGTTCCACAACAGATGATGTATTACTTAATAATACCAAAAAAAATGTCTCACTTAATAATCGAGCCGACGACCAAAATAAAAATAAATTGCTTTATTATTACTCAATTTTCCTAGAGATGGGACCGTTTAAAAAAGTATTACGGATATATTGATAACAAAACTTTTATTTGTTTCTACACAATTTTGTAATTTACAATTTATCTAAACAGATTCGAAATAATTGTAATATTAATTCTATGATTTTTAATAACAGCCTTCTTGTTTTGATAAATAATTTTTGACATGACCTTAATGTCATTTTGCTGCTAATACGTAGGGCATTATTGGTTACATCTTTAGAAGCTAAGCACAGCAATAATAGCTACAGCCAACAAAAAAAATCTTCATTTTTTGTTTTACACAGCCAAATTTCTAAAGCACCAAAAATAATGCTGTGACCTGTGAGTACTGTCATAAGACACAAGAATGTTGAAAGACACATACAAAAATGGTAAAAGGATGCTTAAAAGTAAAACTTTGCGGGAAAAACAGAGCCTTCATTTAATGTTCTCCATTCTTTGTTCCGACAACTTTTTTGTTCTTGTAACAAATAGCTTACTCAAAATGGCTTAAACAAACATTCTATAGAGTATTAATTAATGTAAGGATAAAAGTAACAGAACATTAACTATTAAAAAAGCGAGCCATGTAAGATATCGAACAGAAGAATTAAGTGAATCTTCTCTCGTGGAAACTTCTAAGCAGGAGACATGGCATCTGGACAACCACACGGTTAGTACACTTCTATGATGTCGGCGAGAGAGACGTGGCGAGATTTGTGGATCGTGATGAGCTTGCACTTGGGTCGGAATGTTCATTGTCGTTTTGGATAATGGTTCTGTGGCTCACCAAATATCATTGGATAAGATCAGAACTTAGAAATCTCTAACTTGTCCACGTCAACTTTTCACTGAAATTTCTTTCCTATAGTTTGTTTCTTTCTCATTATTTAGATGTATGTTTTGACAATTCAAGCGACATCGATATAAAGTATTTTTGTTTGGGATTTAAGGATGGTCTCCTACTATTTCAAAGTCGTGATGAGTTTTAGCGTCGACTAAAGTGAATAATATTCGTTTTTGAATTTGAATGTTTCAATTCGTAAGAAAAAAATTCGCTTTTGTTGTTGTTGATGTTAAATCACTAATTTACAACTTTGAATAGTTTTCTCTACAGCCTAGAAACATGCTAATCATGATTTAAATATGATTTTGAAAATACAGTCCAACCAGATTGTATATATAAAATTTAAATGTTAACTGCATAATATGGTGGAATAACTGATTTATTAGAAATCTAACCGAAAATTAATAGTGTTTATGATGAAAAATTAGGAGAATAGTTAAATAGATGAGAGTTTTAAAGCGGATTAAATCCAAATACAAATCAGATTCTACGTCACATCGGTCTGTTTATGAAAAATCCAAACACAAGTTTTATCCCAAAAAAAAAGAAAAAGAAATCCAAATACAACAAAGCATTTTCTAAGTAAACTTACATGAAAGTCTTCTATGTTAAATTCAAATACGAAGCTATATTTTGTGGAATGATGATGATGATGATTGTGGTGGTATGAAGATGATGATGGATGATGTTGATGGTGATGACATATGATGATGACATATGATGATGTTGACACTGATAATGATGACGATGATGATGATGATGATGTTATAGGAATGAAGATGATGCTGGTGGTGGTGTTGATATGATGGTGATGATGTTTATGGTGAAATGATGATGATGGTTTCAATTAAAAAAAAAATGATGATGATGGTTATGATGAGGGATGATGGTGATTGTGTTGGTATAAAATTGTTCATCTCTTTTCTTGTTTTGGTCGCCAAACCAATTCACTATAGGAAAAAAAAAATCGCATAACAGTAACTACAACTTTTGAAAGAATAAAAGAGTAACTATAAACATTTATGACCAAGAATTTATATATCCAGCAAATTTGATTTTAGATGTTTTGGCATTGTAGATTGGTGTGGGGTTAAAAAAAAAACGTGTGAATAGGTGGGAAAAAGAGAGTTTATTTCCCCTAACGTAAATGATCAAATAAAAAGATTATTGTTAGTGACTTAGGAAGAATTGATTCCGAGTGGCGATTGGACCGGTCGAACCGGCCGGTTTGTTGTTAAAATAATTGGCGTTTGGGTTGGGTAAGAAATAAAGTTAGCTAGAACTAGAAGCTGGAAATTGCGGCGAACGGAGAAAATGCGGAGCACACCGTTGGGGACGACGGCGGTTTCACCAGCTTCTATCAAGCACAACTCTTATGGCCGCTTCGTTTCCTCTTCAGGAGTCTCTAATTTCTCTCTCCATCGTCGGAGACGCCTCTCGTCGTTTTCTGTATCTCAAGCTCCTTCACAAATCAAATCAGGTTTGACCTCTGATTGTTTTATACTTGATGATAATGAGCTATGATTTTTCCGGTAGCTTTGATTTAGATCGAGTTCCAATACTTAACCCATTCCCAGATGAATTCAATTAGATGCTCTGCAGTGTGTAATTGACCATCCCTTATCGAAAGATTCAATTTTTAACGAAACAATTGATTGTAGCTAGTCATTGTACAGGTTTTGGTATTGAATTTGCATGTTTGCTTCATTAAGCTTCAAAATTTTCAGGCTTTTGCATGATTTGGGCAAATCAAGTGTTTTATTTTAAGTTTAGTGCTTTCATTGGGTATGAGTTTCTAGGCACAGAAGAAAGGACAATCAAAAGTGATGATAGGGTTGATTCTATCAGTTTTGTTATTTGGTGAATATATTTCTTATGTTTGTATGTAGGAGCATGCAATGCTAGTCAAATAGTTGATCTTTTCCCAGCGGTTTCACCTGAAATCGTTGTTCGGGAAGCACGGTTAGAGGACTGCTGGGAAGTGGCAGAGACTCACTGCAGCTCCTTCTTCCCTGGATATTCGTTCCCGCTTGATGTTGTTCTGAGAGTAGATAGGTTAATGGCGATGGTAATGGGATTTTCTATTCCACCTGGGTGCCAGAGGACTTGTTTAGTCGCTGTGATAGGTAGTTCAGTAGATGAAACCATTTGCTTTGGAAGTGAAGATTTCAAAATTGGAGCTTTTGATGCAAAGATCAGCTTAAACAAAGGTTATGTAGCTGGAATCTTGACTGTTGATACTGTGGCTGATTACCTTCCAAGGAAAGGACCTCTCCGCCAGAGAAGGTTCGCTTTTTTCCTTTGCTTTTTGCTTCTGTCGTCAAACACTGTGCCTCTGTTCTTAAGACTAAGAACCAAGTCTCAAAAATGTGCAACTAGTGAAAATCATAAAGTTTTGAAATCTTTAGCTAATCTTGGTGAAAGAAGGATCTTGTCATTTTTTGTTCAGAATGTGTTGTGCTCGGATCTGTATTCGTTTATTGTCTAATAATGATTTGATGGTGTGTTCCTAATTTAAAGCCAGGACCGGGATCGCTTACATATCAAATGTGGCAGTTCGAGAGAATTTCCGGCGTAAAGGAATAGCCAAGAGACTCATATGGAAAGCAGAGGCTTTAGCCAAGAACTGGGGATGTAGAGCTATCGGCCTTCACTGTGATCTCAACAACTTAGGAGCCACTAAACTTTACAAAGATCAAGGTTTCAGATCCATCAAGATCCCCGAAGGAGCGACTTGGCCACAACCAAAGACATCTCCTGACACCAGGTTTAACTTCATGATGAAGCTCGTGAAACAACAACAATACACAAGCTCTTGAACAGTTTCGGTAAATCCGAGGAAAACGGAAATTTGAATTCCGTTTGTTGTTGAAATAGCTCTGATTATGTAATTGTAAATATGTTTGCAGTCTTGTGTAAATGCTATTGTCTATAATATTTCGACCAAATACGCTTTTGAGGCTTTGTAGTGCCGAGTCAACTTTTTGCTTGTCCGGTGAAGCGTGTTTCAAAACATTCTAAGTCTTAGGCTCTTAGCCATACTTGATCTATATACCAATGTAAAAAACATTAAAAATCGCTTCATTAAGATCCATAGTTTAAACATGTAGAGTATTACAAAGCTCAAGATTAATATCATTCGAACAATAACAAATCGGCATGAAAGTCGAAATAGATACCATAGATTGGACATATTATTGTGTTAAGAAATTCTTACGCCGCTAACATAATTGCAAGTTTATCTTCGAACATACTTGGCTTCATCTTGTATATCTGGTGATACATGTCTCAAACCTCCATTTTATGAACTCCTTTCTCCAAGGCAGCAAGTTTGATGATATTGAGCGATTCTACCAAATCATCACATAGTAGATAAGGGTCTGGAATCACTGTTGTGTCGACTGCTAGATTGATGACAATCTTGTTTACATAGCTCACAAAATGGATAATAAGAGCCTTGTTCAACAACAAACATAAACGACTGTTAGTTAATTTGCACCAAAAGTTTTCTATGATTTCTAAAAAAGTTAACTGATATACAAGTAGGCCATGATTAGCTATACTTACTTGTGATCCACCCAATGCACTTGCTGCTACGTAAGACATTGGATGACCAAAGAAACTTGTTTCTTCGTCTGGACCCATCACATTTGAAAATGCCAATGTTGTATGATCAAATATTCTCTTTACAAGAGTTTCTACTACCTGTTTATAACCATTTATATTTTTTTTCATATACGTAAATATATAATTATGGATAACTAATTGATACTGATTTTGTATACAACCTTTTCTCCGAACATTTTCATGGCAAATTTGATGACTCCATAGCAAATAAGTGATTCCATGGAGAGTTTTTTGATATCCATAGTAGATTTGGCTCGTTGGACGTATTCCAACGGATCATCCTCAGATCTTATCCATAACGGAAAAATGACAATACCTACGAAGTTTCCCCATCTACTTTTTGAACCCTTTGCCATCATATTCGCCAGATCCTACACTTTCATTATTTTTAAACTCTTTCTTATTAAAAACATTGCTTTGTAAGGTAAAAGTGAATAATGAATATGATGGTTACAGGGAGTTGACCTCGATCTTTGTAGTTTCTCTTAAATTTACGATTACTGTACCGCGAAGACGGATTTTTTTCTTCTCGGCTACCGTATCTTCATCTATCATATAAACTACTGTTAATGATATATTACGATAATAGCGTAGGCCTAAGATATAGTTTAAGTATCAATATACAAAAAATTCTAATGTAATCACATCTCTAGAACTTTTAGTAGCTAAATCAATAGCAATTTCAAAAAAATTAATAGCATGCATTATAATATATATTATATATTTTCTTTAATCACATTATTGTTCTATTCATAAAAAAAAAAATCACTGCTAGAAAGTTAAGGTAAATTCCTCTCAAATCTCAATAACACTGGTAGAATTGGGAAAGAATTTGAAATTACCATATTTTCGGCTCAAATATCTTGAGAGACCTGCCTGTGTCATTCCAAGGAGAACATCATTTACTTTCTACAAAAATTATGGAGTTCTTAGTGTAAGAAAACAAAAAAATTTGATTAAATATAAAGAAAAAAAAATGACTAACATAAAGAAAATGACTATATAAGTATTAAATTTTAAATATGCTAACCATTTCCATTGTGTTCTTCACCAACTTGACGTCATCAAGGCTTATTATCCGATGGATAACCTTTCTAGATTGAACTCTATCTCCCGGTTTACCCTTGAGAGGAGTTTTAGTATCCCGCATAAAACATAGTGTAAGACAATACTTGAACAATTCAATAACAGTTGTGAAAATGATTCTTATCATGAACCAAAATCTCCCAACCAACCACCAATCCTTATCATTGGAATCAACATGTTTTCTTGTAGCCGCGGTAGTAGGAAGAGCTTCGGGGTCTGATGTTTTTCGTGAAATAGCGAGTAGAAGAGACATAAGTGACATCCCATCGCCGAGTGAATGATGCAGTTTCCCTATACACAAAGATTCTGCATTTGATGTCTTAATATTCAGAACATGAAATTCCCATAAAGGTTTGGACATGTCCATTGGAGTATTAGCAATGTTCGAAGTATAGTCTTCTATAAATTGATCAGGATTTTCAATGTTGGAATAATCAATATCTGGAACAATAACATGATCTTCTACTTCATAAGTAGTAGGAACCCAAACCGCTTTCCCATTTTTCTTCATCTCCTGAAACATTAATTTTACGATCAAAAATTATATTAAATACCTTATTTATCTTCTTTTTTTTGTCCAAAAATATCTTATTTATCCATATACTATATATACTCAAATACATGTAACAACAAAGGCATGCATGACGCGAAAATAAAATAAAAATAAAGGCATATGCATGTCGACATATATGTTTACCAATTTGCAAGAGAAGCGAGGGAACTTGATCCATGTGTTCTTGATACCTTCAACAATGGAAGATGGGTTGCATCTAGTTTTAAACCCTAAAGTAAAAATAATGACGCAATAGAGAGTCGGCGAAAGGAACAACTGTGAAATCGGGCTAAGCGGCTCCACTGCTGATGTCTCTTGGTCTTCTTTCTCCATGTCTTTTTCCTTTTTCATATTTATTTTGATTATTCTCCAACTTTGCCTTTAGCCACACTTTCCTCTTATACTACTGTTCTTTTTTTTTTTTTTCTTCTTTTTCTTATTATCAATTTGATTAAATGCATTGGCAAGTACACTTTGTTATTTTGTGACTTCGCATTTATTGCATTTCTATATCTAACGAGTTAGCTAGGCTTTTGGCATTTGGATTTAGAGTTGTTTTATTTTGTAATTTATTTAAAATTTTATTTTATCTATCACGAGTAAGGCAGTAAGCTAAGTGATGTTTTTCATTGTCCCTACTAGTTGTTAAATTATTGTACTTTTGACTTTTTATATATTTCTTCTTCTTGTGTTCATTGAAAGGTTGGTGAAAATTCCAGAAAAGAGCAAATCGATCGTTCTGTTTTTAAAGATTATGATCTATTACAGTTTTAGTCAATTTAAGCTGGTAAAATTACATATTTCATAATAAAAATTTACATTGAAATTCAGACAATAATCTTCTTTTATACCCAAAAAAGAAAATTAAATCGAAACTATATGTGGAGTGAATAAAGTACTATTTAGTTTTAAAAAGATTAGTGCAATAGGTCCTTGATTTTGTATTAAAAAGAAAAAAAATCAAAATTTATAGCACACATATCATCATAATGTACGAATCAACAACATTCATTATATGGAGCCAACAACAATTTTGTATGGTAGTATAAGATTTAAAACACAAATTGATTGCATGTAGTAAAGAAACTTGCCGAGTCTCGTCTTTTGGAGACCTTTGGTTTAACTCCATCTCAACCACGATACCTGACTCATCATTTACTCGGTCTATTATTGGGATTAGGTCTCTGTTGGTTTTGGTTCTTCGCCTACATATTTGGTTGAACACTTATTCAATTAGGCAAGAATGATTTTTAAAAGGAAAAATGTTTGCCAGCTACACGAAAGAGACACCATCACATAGTCACACATACAAATTTTAAAAATGTTACATTAGTTACACGAACTATTGCTATCACATACGGACATCCCCGAACTAACATAAGTCATGTTGCCAACACCATAACCATCTAATTCCAGTGTACCGGTTGCCGGAATCCGGCGTTGACCAAAAATATTTTCAAAAAAAAATATTTTTTCTTTTTATTTATTTTTGATAAAAAGAATTTTGCAAATAAATTATTATATAATTTTATTAAAAATTAAATAAAGTATACCAAAAATAAATATACCATAAAAAAAATTATACAACAAACTTTTGGTATATATTTTTGTAATATAACTAAATATACCAAAAAAATAGACCATGATTTTTTGTTTGTGCTATATTTTGTTATAAAATTTTGGTAATATAACAAAATATACATTTTTTTAACAAAATTTGCTATAGTACAAAAATTTTATTAACAAAATGAAAGTATATAAATTCATTTTTCTCCATTGTTTCTCTTTAATTTATAAACATCATAATATATGCTTTCATTTGTGGTTTTTACAAAGATATATATATATATATATATATATATATTTGAGTTTGGTATATACTTTCAATTACATGTTATATATATATCAAAGGTCATATATTATTTTCAAAAGAAGAAGATATATTTTGTTTTTAAAATAGAAAACCAACCTTTGAATTTATAAAAAAAATGATTGCCAAAAGGAAAAGATATATTTTTTTATATTACCAAAATTTTATAACAAAATATAGCACAAGAAAAATTTGTGTTTTATTTTGTTAATAAAATTTTGGTAATATAACAAAATATATATATATTTTTATGCTATATTTATTTTTGGTATATTTTAAGTAAAATTATGTAATAATTTATTTTTTAAAAAAGTTTTTTTTATCAAAAATAAATAAAAAGAAAAAAATATTTTTTTGAAAATATTTTTGGTCAACGCTGGTCAACATCAGTCAATGCCGGTCAACGCCGGATTCCGGCAACCGGTACACTGGAATTAGATGGTTATGGTGTTAACAACATGACTTATGTTAGTTCGGAGATGTTCGTATGTGATAGTAATAGTTCGTGTAGCTAATGAGACATTTTTAAAGTTTGCATGTGTGACTATATGATGACGTCTCTTTCGTGTAGCTGGGAAACATTTTCCCTTTTTAAAAAGTGGAATTGCTTGTAAAATATGTGCCCATAAAATATGTAACCATGGGCAAGAATGATTTTTACAAGCAATTCCACCTTTTAGTTGTAATGAGTTAATAGATTAGTTAGTTGTAAAAAAGGAATTTTGTAACCATGTCAATATACAAAAATTTTGCACATTTGATAAACGTTACATTTAAATCCGAATTATAGATAGAACCTTTTAAAATAAAATAAAAAACTCGTCATCTGATGAATCTAATTTATACAAGGTCAAAGGTGTATAGTGGATACACCAAACTTCTTTTACAACTAACTAATCTATTAACTCTTTACTTAAAAACAAAAACATGTATTGTGAACATAAGGGAGTCTATTTAAAAAGATAAGAGAGTCTATTTAAAATCAATATTAGTGTCAGTTGTGTGGTCTATTTGACTACCATCACAACTTCATATTCCTTCAACAATTTGGTTTGGGATGCTCCCGGCTAACAAGGTGGCTAAGAGTATTAGAGACGACACTAGTCGATCTCAACACGATTAGCATAATATCATAATACATTTTTTAGGGGTAAAAACTACAAAATGTTCAATAGAACTAAACAATCAAAATATTATGTTAATACTCCTCGTAACATTAGAGATACTTGATGCTTCTTTGAGGAAACCAACAAGATTTTACGTATGTGTCGAGCAAAAGGAAACTACAGCAAAAGCTTCAGAAGAAAAACCCTGGGATTTCAATTTCCCGCTCATAATTTAGTGTTTAGTCCATTTTATCTGGTTCAACTTTTTACTAACGTGTCAGTAAAATTGTTGAGGATACACATACTCTTAACTTCTGAACAAAAAGCTTTTTATACAAAACTTCATACCATATATACATCCATTACATGAAATACTGAAACAAGACCAACTTACAAAACCATGAAATCACCAAATACTAAGACCCTCTAAACCCCCACTTAGGTTCACATTTTTTCTCCCCCTTGCCTGCTTTTTTTCTTATTTCTTTACAGAGACCAACCACCCCAAAAAGAGACCAAAATGTTTTCAGATACATTTTACATTGAATTTTGATTATTTGTTCACCTTGGCTTTGGTTGAGATGCAAATGATAACAAAGGCTGGATCAGTCTATGATGATGCGATGTGGCCTGAGATCTGTGTAGCATTTCAACCATTGATGGAGTTTGGTAATAAGCTTGGACAAAGCTTGAACCGTCTCCTGATTCTCCTCTTGCTGTTGCTCTTTGCCATGAGTGTGAACTAAGTCCAGAAAGAATGTAAGCTCTTCCTGACACCTCGTAGACATGCCGACTCGCCATTCTTTCTTGCATTTCCTTTAGCTCTTTGTCCAAAGCGACACAAAACCCGTCACCCGTTTTTGCTGAGACTGTTTCTGCCAAAGCTAGTCTGAAATTCTGGATGACGGTGACACCTGCGGCTAAATCTTCTCCCTCTGCTAAAGCTCTCGCCTTAACCATTGCCTCTGCAGCTAGAAATCTGTTTCTTTGCCTGTCCACTTCGATAGACACAACAACTTCTTGACCAACGGTTTCTGGTCTTTGAATGTTAAGCACATGACTTTGAAGCGTCACAATTTCTTTTGTCAAAAGATCTTTGTAGACACATCTCATTTTTAGAAGCGGCGTCTCGTTTCCATCTTTTTGAGCAGGGATGTTTATAGAAATCAAGAAATCGCGCTCTTCATCGGCGTAAAGATCACCAATGTCAACACATCCTGATCGACCATCACCAGTAACAAGGCTCGCGTAACTACCAGCTTTTATCGAGCTGAGATGAACATCTGAGCACATACCATCGATTTCTAACCGTAACTCCTGCACTGCAACGCTTAAAAGTCCACCAATGCACTGTGCAAGAGCATCCTGGATCACAGATTCACTCTCAATGAAAGAGAAAGTTCCCCCAGAGGTCTCAGAAACAGAATGCATCAGTGAAGAATCATGATCTGATCCAAAACCAAAAGAATGAACTGGGATCTGAAATCGCTTGCTTTCACAACCGTGCATAGACGACGGGAGTAACAACTTGTAGTTTGGATCAGCTTGGTTCATGGTATAGGTGTCTCGTCCATCAGACAAAAGGATAATGCTAGCAACAGGATTTTTATCTCTTCGATCTTCCATCACCTTGACACCTTTCCTAAGACCTTCAGCGATATTGGTCCCGCCATTTGCAATCACTGAGTTTACAGCTTGAAGGGCTCGCTGCCTTCCAGCATCAGACATCTTAGTCAAAGGGAAAAGACGACGAGCAGTAGAAGAGAAAGCAATAACCGAGAGCCTATCATTTGAACCAAGGTTCTGAATCACAAAACCCATTGCTCGTTTGAGTAGAGCCAGTTTAGTTCCAGCCATGCTACCACTGATGTCAAGCACCGTGACAAGATCAACTGGAGCTCGAGGATACCGAGATATCTGATTGTTGAGAGAGTTAGCATTTCCAGTAACCATGGCAGCAGCTCTAAGATGCACCAATACAGCAAACTTCTCACGGGATTCAGCTCGTGGTACAGAGGAAACCTCGGGATATATCTTCAAGTCCATCATTCTTACAGAATGATAGTTCTCCAAAGCATCACTATAGCTCTTCCCGGAAAATACTAGCTGCTGCTCTAACCGTTCATCATCATCAAACATAGACGGCTCAGGAGCTAGAACTCGTCCTTGATTCATAACTCCGCGAGGTCTAGGTAAGCGGTGGACAAGGCTAATAGCTGCATCATTGTTATAAGATCGAGCAAACAGATAAGGAAGATCAAAACTAGGGTGCTGCATTGGGATTTCCTTCCATTTTGCACGGCACACCGGGCAAACTTGGTTTCCGTGCTTCACATTCGAAGCAATGCAGTGAAAATGAAACGAATGCGAGCACTCTGCTGTGAAAATCGCATGTCCACCTCCTTCTTTCATC